GGCGTCGCGCTGCCGTGCACCAGCGCGGGGAGCGGCGTCACCGTAGTCCGCAACGCCATGGCGTGGGCGGTCGCCTCACCTGTCCACTGGGCGATCTGAGCCTCCGTCGGAGCGGCCGCGAACCTGTAGCACATCGCCCTCGTCACACCGGGTGGAGGTGGCCACCGCTCCGTCGCGAAGCGGATCCCAACCACGTCTGCATTGGCAGGTCCGTACTCTTCATCATACACTTGTCCATCTGGCGTGACAATGAGGAACCTAGTCGCCGATGACGCCAGCACGCCGAGCAGCAGCCTCTGGTGCCACAGGACCTCCGGCGTCGCGTACCATACGAAGGCCCAGGCCACCGCCGCCCGGACCGCCTGTGCCGCCACTCCCAGCCCTGGCGCCGCCTGCAGGGGCAGCGGCCCCAGCGGGGCTGCGGCCGCCATTGCGCGCGTAGCCGAGGGCGGCGAACGTCGAGCTGGCCGCGAGCAGCAGCACCGTCCAGGCCCACAGGCGGCTGTTGCCCGCCAGCACCTCGGGGTCGCTCACCCCGCACGTCGGCTCGGGGAGCGGTGGCGCGCCTGGGCACGCGGGCACCGCCGGGCACGGCGGGCAGGCCGGGCACGCGGGGACCGCTGGGCAGCTGCCCGCCGAAACTATGGCGGCGGTGCCCAACGATCGAACAACCTCGTAAAAAAGGTTCAGCCCGAAATCCATGCCATCTGAGGCCCCGCTTTGAGCCCAGAGAAGACTATGGAAGCGTTGTACCGCTTGACGGCGGTCGGGCTTGCCAAGATGATTCACGTGCGAGCACTTACACACAAATAACAGGATTCCCCATAATTTCCAATACTTTCTGGGTTTTTGTCTTCCCCCCACTTCTCATACATTTCCTATATTTTCTGGGGAATCGACGGTTCATTGTGTCTGTGTGTTTTTTCCCCTCCTGCATGCTCAGGGGGGGGGGAAGCCTCCAGCTGGCATCGGCGACACATCGCCGAGACCTCGGCGCAAGAGCCCCCCCCTGGCAGCGAGCCCGCACGGCCACCTGGGCTAGGAGCGGGCTGGAAGGGCCCCCCTCGGCGAGGCGTGGGCGCTGCGGGGTCGATGCATCGCCCCCCTGCCGACCAGCCATAGCTGAGGGAGCTGTGGCCCTTACCCCCCCCTGGGGGAACCCATCGCATCGACGATCTCTCGAGAGGGGTGTCGAAATCGATGGGTCCCCCAGGGGAGGAAGGACCACAGCTCCCCCAGCGGTGGCTGGCCTGCCCTGGGAGCCTGCTCCCCCCCCCCCCCCTTGATGCATCGCCATCAACATAAACGTCTTGCTCGGATCTGGCCTGGGGCCCCCCTCCACGGCGCGCGGAGCGCGCGCCAGGGGCGGCGCCGGAGGCGCCGCTGGGTGGGTGGGTGGGTGGGTGGGGGGGCCAGCGCGGATCCAAGGAATCCGCGCTCAGCGCCATTTTTTTGTTGTTTTTTTATGTTTTGTTTCTTTCTTTTTTAAAGTTTATAACGCTTGTGATTCTTCGAGATGCTGCCCCCTCCTTCACGGGTGACGTATGAAACACATCCCGCCACTGGCAGTGTGTAGTGCTCCAAGTTCCGAGCTGCATCCCCCCCCGGTGAGCCCGTCCTCCCCCCCATGATGCTGCCCTTGATCCAAGGGCCCGGCCGGCAGGGCCTGCGCTCGAGACGCCTCCGAAACAGGTGCGCCCCTCTCGATGACGGGCGTCCTCTGACCGCAGGGAGGAAGGGCGCTCCGCCGAGAGGAGGCGCCCCGGCCTTCTCGGGCAGCCGCCCTTCTCTCGCCCTGGGCCCGCTGTATCCGCCGATGCGTTGAGCAGGAGAAGAGCATACTAGTGAAAATATGAATCTTCGACATACTAGTACAACTAATCCTAATTATAATGCTATATATAGTGAGAGAGCGTGATCCACCGCCGCTTTACTGTGGAAAATTGCCAACCTTTTCCTCCGGAGCCCGGGGGTCTCCCCCCCCTCCTCCGAAAATCCCCCCCCCCCCCCTGCTGGAACCCTCCCCCCCCCCCCCCTCCCTCCCGGCAAAACCCCCCCCCCTCCCCTAACCCCTCCCCCCCCCCCCTCCCCCTCGAAAACCGGGGGGGGGTCACTACCGGTTCGAACTCCTCCACCCCCCCCCCTCCGGATCCGGAAAACCGGGGGGGGTCACTACCGGTTGGAACCCCCCCCCCCCTCGAAAACCGGAGGGGGTCACTACCGGTTCGACCCCCCCCCCACGCACCGCCAGCAAACGACTCCCGGTCCCTACCACCGCTCGCATCACATCCCCCACTGTTGTTCCCAGCACCACTGTCCTCACCACCACTGTCCCCACTGGTTCCACCACCGTCCCTATTGTCCCCACCAATGCCCCCACCACTGTCGCACTGTCCCCACTGTTCCCACAACTGTTCCCACCACGGTTCCACTCTCCCCACTGTCTCCACGGACCCAACCACTGCCTATCCCCACTGTCCCCACTGTCCCACTGACTCCTCCGCTGTCCCACTGAGCTGTCCCACTGTTTCCACCACTGTCCCCACTGTCCCCACCACTGTCCCCACTGTACCTCTGTCCCATTGTCCCACCGCCGTCCTCGCCACCGCCTTTACCAGTGTCCCCACCACCATTGTACCCTCCACTGTCCCAGTGTTTCCACCTCATTCCCACTGTCCCCACACCACTGTCCCCACCACCACCGTTCCCACCACTGTCCACTGTCCCCCCTGTTCCCACCATTGTCCCCACCACTGTCCCCACCACTACCGTCCCCACCACTGTCCCACTGTCCCCCCACTGTCCCCACCACTGTCCCGCTGTCCCCTCACCACTGTCCCCACCAACACCGTCCCCACCACTGTCCGCACCCCCACTCGGCTTTCGAGGGGGGGGGTGTGTTCGAACCGGTAGTGACCCCCCCCCCTTTTCATGATGAGCTGGGGGGGGGGGGGGGGAGGGGTTCGAACCGGTAGTGACCCCCCTGGCGGTTTTCCGGAGGGGGGGGGGGGGAGGGGTTCGAACCGGTAGTGACCCCCCCCGGTTTTCCGCCAGCAGCGGTAGAACACGCTCTTTCTTATAAGAAGGGTACTAAGAATAATAAGACGAGGGGACATGCCATCTGGGAGATATCATGGCCCAGGCCATGACGTCTACACCCCCCTGCTATGTTCCTTGATGTACTTTCTGGTAGCGGTGATCACCTGGTGGGGGGGGTGGGCGCGGGCAACAGTAACGCTTGGGTGACGGGGCGATTGGGGCCCCGATCGGCGATGAGTAGTGGGCGATCGGGGGCCGAGGCATCTCCCTCTGAGCCTTTCCCCCCCAAGCATTGCTCTTGAATTTCTACAGTCATCGGCCTGACCTAAGGAACGATAAATAAGGAACGAAGCCCCTCTTTTATCCCCAGGAACAACGCGCAAGGAACGATCATTAACAAACAACGCACAAGGAACTGTAAATAACGCATGTAAAATCTAAGGAACGACCGAGCCCCTTTTGAAAAACACGTGTTCCTTATTCAAGCCGCTCACTGTATCTTCCCCTCGTCCCCAATGCCCCGCTCGCGCAACTTGCGGCTGCGAAGTAACCCTGGGGCAGCACACACCCGGGTCGGCCGGGGCCCTGCCTCGAAGCCCGGCCAACCACTCAGCAGCTCGCAGAGCCCGAGCAGCGGAGGAAAGGGTGGCGGGGTCGGGTCCACGTGCCTCCCACACCCGGGTCGGCCAAAGGGGATCGGAAAGGATTGGCCGACCCCTGTTGGCGCTGACCCGCGTTACGTGCGCCTGAGGGGCAACGATACGGGGCGACTGGCGAAGAGGGGGAGACATCGCCCTGGAATCGGCGATACATCGCCGACACATCGGCGATGGGCCTCCGATGGTGAATCCGCACGTTCCTGGGCAGCTTGGGGCTGTCGGGCCCCTATCGGTGATGAGTGGGCATTTGGGTGTTGGGTCCAACCCCCTGTGCCTACTCCAGATTTCGTAATAAAAGGGAGGGGGTCTGGACCCTCCAAGACAAGCCATTTCAGACCTCCCCCGTGGGAGAACCCTCCAAAACATCGCCCCCAGACCCCCCAGGCCCTCCAAGATAGCCTGGAAGAGACCCCCCCCGAAATGAAACTCCCCTCCCATTATTACGAAATCTGGAGTATCCCTCCCTGTCGTTGCCCCTGAGCGCCGCGATCCTCTCTCTGCCCCTCGCCCCCGGCGCGGCTCGCGCCCACTGGGAGCTGCGGGTCGCAGCGGGCGGGCCGCCCGGGAGAGGCACGCCCGCCGCGACCCCTGCCGGAAGGCGGGGAACGCTTGCCGTCGCTCGGCCGTCCACTGCCCGTGCACTGTTGCCAGGCTTCGTGCGTGTGTTTTAGTTCCTCTCCCAAGGCCGACTCCCATGGTCTGAGCGGGCTCCTCCCGTCTCTCCCGGCGCTCTTCCCTTCCGCTCTCGTGCCTCCATATTCGCCTTCGGTGCACCCCGCCGCTTGCTGAGCGGCGCTTGCCTGTCTCGCACAGCCTGGCGCCCGCGGATTTCCGGCGGTGCCCCTGTCTCTCACGATGCTCCGGGCTGCTCCGGGAGTGTCAGGCAGAGCTTCTGGCGCTGGCCTCGCCGAACAGAGTGCACACGCCCGAGCGGTGCTCCGAGAACGGGTACCCTGTTCTGCCCCCCGCTGGTGGGGCCAGCTGCCGCCTTCGGCCGCTGGAGGAGCTCATCCCAAACGTGCCGCCCTCGGTCTGCTCCAAGAAGTTTCCAAGAGGCGAGGCGTCCGAGAAAGAGAGGAGGAGCGAGAAACCACCGACCATATTTGACATGTCGGGGAGCTCCTCCCATGGGAGGGAGAGCTTGGAGGAAAAGAGTAAGATCCCCCGCAACATGTTTGCACTCTGCAGCGGCAAACCATCTTAGATTTCACCATCATCCAAAGACGCTGACACACATACTTAGCTGATGTGAACACTGCTTCCGTGGACCACTCTTGCTGGAAAACATTAAACGCATGAATCCTTCTTCGCCTGTGACCAGCCGTGCTCCCAATTGAGCTCCAACGTGCAGTCGTAGTGTGCAGACGTCATTGTTGTCCTTTGAAGATATTTCCGAGACAGACAGCGCACGAATTGCAACTGTACGAGAAGCATGGCCAACCAACAGTAATTCGCATAATTGCAACACATGCGTGGGTACTCGTTGCGTTGCCAGACGCGCGACGCTACATTCCACAGGAACTGAAGACAACACTGACACGTCTCATACATCAGTGGCACTCATATTATTCATGCATGACGTGCTGAATCGATGCGCACGCGCTCGAGTGGCCACCTGCGTATACGCATACACATATGCATACACTATCGCAGATCAAGCGTCACAGAGCCACTACACAATGGCAACGGCGAGGCGCACTCAAATCAAGCTCAACGGGCTGACTGGTCATCGTTCGAATGCAGCTGACAACGAAAACAGCAACGGCATGAGCAACAATACAACATCACTTGTAATACCTACGACACTGTCCACACTATTTCTTAGAACCTTGCAACAAGAAACAATGGTTCAACTTCAATATAGCCTTTTTTTCCAGCGCCGCGCACACCTGTTAAAACGAACGCATCTCGTATAATACATAAAAAACAAACCGCAATGTTAAGTTCCCAGCCAGTCAACCGACGCACCACAAAACTGCAGCATGGGACGAAACGGGGTCACGGAACACATCTAGCCCGAGGGAACGTGAACCATCAGACCAGACCGGCCTCGAACGAACACGACAAATACCAATACTACATTGGCCTCAGCGTCGTGCTCTCTTGGCGAGCTGACGCGGCGTGTAGGCACAACGCGTGATGGGTACGAGTCCGAGGGCAGGGGGGATTAGATTGAGGGAGAACGCTAAGGGGGGACAGGCTCAGTGTGGGCAAAGCGTCGAACTTGGAATCGGCGGCACATTGCCGATGGATCGGCGACGTGCCACCTCCTCCTCCTCCTCCTCTTCCTCCTCCTCGTTCCCCTCCTCCTCCTCCTCCTCCTCTTCCTCCTCCTCGTTCCCCTCCTCCTCCTCCTCCTCGTCGTTCCCCTCTTCCTCCTCGTCCTTCTCCTCCTCCTCCTCCTCCTCCTCCCCCTCCTCCTCCTCCTCCTCCTCCTCCTCCTCCTCCTCCTGCTCCTCCTCGACAGCAAAACCGCATTTCCCCTGGCGCGGGAGGGCCATCGGACCGCTGTCGGGGATCAGAGGGCGATTGGGGTCGACGCGTTCACGCCTGAGGGATTGGGGGTCGATGCGGCCCCACCTGGCCAGGGCCACGGCATCTCCGAGATATCATGGTCCTGGCCATGATTGAAGGGGCCCCAGGACACACAAATAAATACACACAAACAAAAATATTCCCCATATTTTCCTATATTTTCTGGGTTTTTATCTTCCCCCCCACTTCCCATATTTTCCCATATTTTCGAAAGAACCGACGATTAATTGTGTCTGTGTGATTTTTCCCCTCCTGAATGATGTGAACACTCGGGCTGGACGAAATCGGGAAGGCAAGAAGACAGGGACAGGTTGTTGGACAAACCAGCAAACAACTCACATCGAACCATCGGATTCCCAAACATCAAGAATCGTGTTTTTTTACCCCCCCCCGCCCCCTGACGTCCGTGACGGGGAGGAGGGGATCCACCCGCCGTGGGGCGGTAACGGTAACGTGGCGTGCTCGGGCACGGTACTGGCATTATTTGTGGTAGTACCAGTACCAGCAGTAATAGGAGCACCAGTAAAGGGCATGGAATCGACAAAAAAAGACGACGACCACAAGCGGCGACGACAACGACAGCGGCACCGGCAACGAAGACGCCGAAGACGACGACGATGGCATCGACTGGCCACGGCGACGGCGACGACGACGAAGACCGGCGGCGACCGGCGACAACGGCGAACAGCGGCGACGACGACGACGACTGGCGGCGACGACGAATAGTAGAAACAAAAGTAGAGCAGAACAAGCAAGAATAGTAGAACCAATGGTGCATCGCCGTGACAAAAGTATCATGTGGTCTGCGTACAGCATGACTGACGATTAGCGGAGTAGGCAGAGTGGGCGGGGTAGATATGACTCCGCGCGGACATGCGTCCCGCCCCATTTCTTCTGGATCGATTGGGCGGAACAATTTCCGATTGTGTCCTTGGTTCAAGATTTTGATTAATCAGGAAGGGCCCAAATAACTCCGTGGGAGCGCAGGGGTCATCTGCCCATGCTAAAGGTTCTCGGAAGGGTCGGAGATTCCAGCGTCATGCCAGACCACGTCTACTTTCGTCGCAGCAGCGTGCGCGCCCGCTGCGTTCTCGTCCGACTTTCATCCAGGCAACAATACGTGCAGACAATTCAAGCCATGGCAATCCAAGAAATGACAAAAACGTTTGCGCTGCGACGGCCGCATCTCGCCAAGTCAAGTGTCGGCCGCCGTGGTAGATTTATAAAGCTTCGCCTGCTACGCCCGATCGATAAAACCTCGATGATC